CAAAATCTGCCGTGGTTTCCTGGAACGTGCTAATTGATATTTTGTATGTTAAAAGTGTTAATTGATTTCATCCAGCAAAAGTCAATACAGCCACAAGCATAACTGACAGGAGTTAACGCCTCGGGTACACGGTGGGGGGCCAAATTCTTTTGGTGTCCAAAGCTCGCGGGCGGCGGCGGCGGTGAGTAATACTGAACACTCGCCCGCCAAAATTACGCCTGTTCTGCAGCCTATCTTATAGGCGATAAGGTAAATTTTGTCGCGATACAACAGAAATCCTTCACTGACCCAGCCAGGCTATAAATAATGACCAGTTCCCCCCTAAATTCAACCATTACACTGACAGCACTACTTTTACCACCCTTTTACATTAATTTTGTTTCTAGCATACATCGAAACATTTAACTAAATTTAGTGCCTCCATTTCATTTCAGAACAAATGTGTACCTTACAAAGCATTATGACTCGTGCATTTAATATATTTAAATTTTAAAAAAATACGCCACTTTTGTCACGTTTATGGTATAATCTGAAATAACTCAGTATTCGCGTTGCTCTACATAGCAGAGCAAAAAGTTGCAAAATAGTTGTTTAAAAATAGGCTTTGCTGTAGTTAGTCTCCTTTTGACATTTTTGGAAGCGGAACAAAAAAATAATGTTCTACAGTTTTGTTAACTCTACATTACTTCTGTTTACGTCATCTTCATTCATCACAATGCAATTTCAAAGAATTGTTAAACTGTATCTATACAAGTCAGCTACAAGTTTCTCGTTTGCAAAATTCTCAAAGTCAAAGTTTGAGTGCAGATTTATCGTCAGTTCTCTTTAACAGGAATGACTCTTTCATCAGACTTGAAACACATTTAAAGATTTTTCTTTACGTGAGCTTCTGAAAAGAGGTTCTGTATAGCCGAATTGTCTTTTTCAGCTAATTGTCTCATATTCAAGAGGAGAAAACTCACTCAATTCTAAAGCAGTCTGTGCAACAATCCAAATCAAAATGGATGTAGAGTTTCATTATGAAAAATCACTCACAACACTGAGACTGGAAAATTCTTCAATGAACTTTTCCGATTCCACGTCAAATTCTTTCCAAACCTGGGGCGAAGCCGGCCTCTCTCCGTGACCTGGCCAGGAACGACGAATTCGGGTGGTGATTGAAACGGAGGACATTTCTTGCACATCATCGACGTCTTCTTCCTCTCCTCCTCCTTCTGTTCCTAAAAGAGGTGATCGCTCTGCTGAGTGATAAGTCACGGAGGTAGTTGGTCTTGGTTGCACCAAGGTTTCTAATCTTTCCAACTTTTTTAACAAATCATCTCTATTTGCCAACAAGTTTCCAGCTTGATGACTCATCTTGCTTAGCTTAGTGCATTCTTTAGAATATGGGCCATACGTCTCTGCAAACTTCCTGTAAACATCGCCAATTCTTCGCGGAAGGTCATCCTCAAAATAAGCAAAGTAGTGAATCATTTCGTCTCGATAATTCTGCTTTTTCCTGAGGAAATTAAATATTCTTTGAAACCAACCTTTAAGAGCGGTCGCCATGTCTTCGGACTGTTTTGACTGATAGTGACAGGGCTTATCTCTTTTCTTCTTTGGGATCAGGTCTTGATCCCAGCTAACAAAAAACTTACTTGCACCAGAAGTTTCAAACGCATGGCGGTGGTTTACGGGTAGTACCAGACAATCCTTGAGATCTTCATAGTCGACCTTCTCTTGGCTTTGCTTCAACACTTGTATGTCTCCAGGATGGTAGCACGGGTTAGGGCAAACCACTACCTCTTCAAATTCTTCGTCACCTTGCAGGGTTGGCTTGAAGTAGCACTCTCCACTCTTTAGCTTCCCGTAAGGGTCACAAACCCCAAACACCACTCTTGCTTTGGGCACCAAAATTCTCGTACGTATCACGAGACGTCTTTGTGGTTCGCCATTATTTGCGATCTCGCAAACGTGATGAAGCATCTTCTCTACTTCACCTCGTTGTAGTCTGGCCAAAACCTCTCTTTCAGCTGTTGCCTTTCGTCCAGTTAATTGACAGAAATAATTACCAGATGCTGAATTCGTGCACATACTCTTCAATAGAGTCAAATAGCCCCGCTGAAGCGACCTGAGATAGCGGATCGACACACCTCTGGTCGCCAGAAACATGATCAATCGCGAATCAAGGTAGCCGTTCACGTCAGGAGTGGAATGATCAAGAATTCCAATATAAGGAATAACTTCGCCGTTCTTCTTGCTCGGAGTGGAAAACAAGCGCATGGACTTGCGGAATTGGACCAGAGGGAGGTCTGTTAGAGTTTCTCTAAATACCAAAATACCCTGAAAACCTTGGTTGGTCACTTGAAGGGCGCTGGGTGCAGGATACTCCAAACCAAGCTGGCGTCGCACCTTTAGGGTGAATCCCTGAGACATGAAACCACGACAGTTAGTGAAACTGCGTGGCGTCTTGTCAAAGAGTCTACCTTTCACATTAGGCACTTCTCCAGTATCATCCTCACCAAGCTCCATTAGGTGGTCAAAGGGAACGAATAACGAGCCAATTTCTCTGGCGCGTTTTGGAACATTTGTTGTCTTGGTGAAGTCGCCAAACCGTGTTAGGAGATCGTGAATTTCAGTGTCTGAGGCCGCGTTCATAAAGTAGCACTTTCTCTCCCAGAGATGACTGTCGGAATGCCCAAGGAAACGATACAGTCCACGTTTTCTCCCATGACAATATATTCCCCGCTTTAAGACGTCCTCGCAAAAGGTTTTTTTCTTATTTTGCTTCAGAGTTGTATTGAAAGAGACGCCTAGAAGCTTCTCGGGAAAAGATGAGTCATTCCGCCGCAAGTATTCAAACAGAAGGGTTTTATCGAGTTTTGTATTCCCCTTGCTGTATTGCGTTTCGTCTACGCCATTAAATTCCACGTATTTGATGTACACTTCATCACCGGTCGGAGGAGCAACGTTGTCTTGAAAATTGATGCATACAGCAAAAGCCATGAGACCCAGTTATCGTGAAGAAAGCGTAAGATTGCTGTTGATAGGGAGACAAGGTATTTAAAAATCAACCTTTTCCAATGTCATTGTAGGTTAGAGGTTTCCAAAATTTATCTTTTAAGTAATTCAGGGAGATTTTACTTTTGGGAATAATCTGTTGCATCAGCGAATAGCACATTGGAAAAAAATAAGAGTACTGAAGAAGCTTCAATATTGCGCGTGATACAATGACGTCAACTTTACGCTGCTAATTTACTTCACATGGAAATTGGCGTTCCCCCTTATAATCGCCCATCACCTCACGTTTCAAAAACGTACGCTGCAGAAACACTATGGGCATATCATATATATTCATATTACATGAGACGGTTTAGTGTGTAGTAGCGATAAATATTTTTACGAGTTGTGCCATATTTTGTCGAGCCCGCAGGGCAAGTCAAAATACAAAACAACGAGAATCCTGAGGTAGAAAGCATCATACAAAATGCGAACGAATCATTCTTCTTGAAAAGTAAAGATACCAAACTTTAAGCTCAGACCTGATCAACACTATCGCCGACATACTGAGCTATGGATATCAAGTAAAAAGTCAAATTCTGTAAGTCGTAACGAGGCCGACTGATATAGAGGAAATATTATTCCGTAAACTGATGTACACAAAACGAACCTGCTGCTTCAAGTTTATTTCTTGTAAGGCAAGATGGGAGAGAGTAGAAATTTACATCAGTTTCTTTAAAACTGACGATAGACATAATACTGAATGGCTTCTAACTCGTCATTTTTCACTGGTAAGAGCGAACCTGAACTTACTCGATCAGAGCTAGTTGAGCTAGCTTGGCTATTAAACAATCTTATCCTAACGACTGTTCTAACTATGGTCAGTTTCATTCTCACCGAGGAAGGTACCGGTAGTAAGTTTTGTCGCTAGTCGATAGCTACATACCTTCAATCTGACGTCCTCTTTACATATCTTGTTTCCGTCATCGGTAGAATGCAGCGAACTACACTGACGTAGTGAACCAGTTTGTTTGTTTGAAGTGGACAGAAACCGAAACCAAAACTTGGGGGAATCCCCAGACTACAATTAACCATTACTTAAACATACTTTTCTTATCTTTGGCAGAGGGCCCATATTGTGACCTCTTGGAGCCTTTGAAATATATTCACAATAAAGGCAAACGTTACGATCGATTAAAGCTTCAGGGAGATTCTAAGAAATTCCAAATTTGTAAAAGACGAGTGTAAATTTCTGAGAAAACAACCTGCCTGACCTGGCATTTGAAAAGAAATAGCGATAATACAACGCAATAAGAGGGCGATTGGATTTGTTAAAAAAAATCTAAACGGTAAGCGACGAAAGATGAGACAGATGTGGAGGTTGAGAGTGGGAAATTTTCAATTTGTAGATGATTCTTCTTTGCTGAAATTAGTTTAGACATCTGTAGGTAATTAATGATATTTTTCTGAACTACTCCCATGACCAACTGAGATTCTCAGAAATTTGTGTATCTGATTGCGGTATTTCCGGGAAATTGAACTTCTAAATTGACGTCAGTGATCTGTTCTCGAAAAAGTATTTCAGAGACTCACAATTATGAGCAAGCTTGGAAATTAAGCAAGAAATAAACACAAAAAGTGCATTAAAAAAGGTTCTGCAACATGCAGCTACATGTAAACAGTGAAACATTTCAATTAAGAGGAACGGAGCTCTGCACGACTGCCTAAATGTTGTAAGGGACTTTCCCAAACACATCGTCATATCAGTACAAATTCAGGACAAGAGGTACCAGAGCCAAAGGTTATTAACCAGGCTATGACGCTTTCATTAGCAGAAAGACACTGAGTCGAGATTATTACATCTGAAGAATCGGTTGAGAAGAGAGAAAAGTTACCAGCAAAGTTACAAGGTAGGAAAGTGAGAAGTTTATTTGTTAAAAAAATCACGGTTAAAAAGTTGTAAAATCAACGAGACAGCCGAATTGGTTGTTAGAAGGCTTCTCGAAGACTAAAGGACCTCTCACATTTTGCGCTTTACCCTGATTATGTCTGTAAACATTCAGTCTCTTTCGCTCAAACGCAGAATAAAACATGAGCTCATACTAGCAGGGTCAGGACAGTTCAACCTGCTGAGATCAATATTTGTCAAAGTCGCGCATAAAGAGGAATTTATTTTCTCTTGTCTAGCACTCATTCAAGCTTGCCAATAATAACCGAAATAAGATGCAAGTTATTTCAGGCCGCTGCTTCTCATCTTCAGTGAGAACTGGGCCCTAGAGGAGTAAAGTGCTCCCTTGCACGGCGAAAAATAACGCAGTGAGGACATGAATCTAATACCTCTCTTGGAAAATATTCGCTCACGCCGTGGAAAGCCGAAAAGCCAAGTGCACGTTTAAAGACTGAAAATAACTATTCGGCGAGCGGAAGTTGATTAGTTCGAGTCTCGGTGGGATTCATACATCCTGTTTAACGCTTGCGACAACCGTATTTCACATCTTTTGACGATGAAACGCAAAAGTTATGAGATGTTTTTCTATTTGAATAAATCGGGGAATTTCTCTTTAATAAGGTTAAACTCAAGTTGCAATTTAACCACAGAAGCAAGAAAAAATTTGAAACACGTGTGCCACGCAGTTTGGCAAGGTGTGCAATGTCATTTTCGTTGCTGACAGAACTTCAGAATTAATGAATTCCGAAAACAAATTGTAAGAAAAAGAGAGATTTCACATGTCAAAACAAGAGCTGATCACCAATCAGAAAACCCTTTTTCAAGGTGATGTAATTTAAGAATTAACTAGTTATGTAATTAAAGAATTAAATAGAGATTTCACATGTCAAACCAAGAGTTAATCACCACTCAGAAAACCTTTTTTTAGAAGGTAACGTAGTTAAAGAATTAAGTATCTTTGTCTAACAGCTATTCGATCGCGCGCATTTTTACCTGACAAAACTCTTCGTAGCTCAAAAACCCATATCTGTCAAAAGTTTAAACGTTAAACCTTCGAAAGGGAAGGAAAGAATCGATAAGAAACATTTTTATAAATAAGCTTCTCGTAAAACCTTGATGGTCGGTGAAAGGAAACCGAAAGTGATTACACTGCGGGAATTTTCCCGACATTCTAAAGGACGGTCAAACATAAGTAATACAAAGCCTGACAAACAAGTTAGCCTTCTCGCACGGCACGTACTGATTGGTTACAAGAGGTTACAAAACATCACTGAGGCTATTATTAGTATGAAGGGGAATTTCCCTGTCGTTTCTGATCTTAAATGATATGCAAATTCAACTAAGGCACATACGTGGCGCACACACTGAGGCCACAATGACTCTGGAGAAAGTTTAGATATAAACACTTGTACTTGGTTAACAGAGGTTTAGACAAGCAGGGTAAGGGACTCAATACTCAGTAACTAAAATTAATCATTAAATATCACTTTCGGTTAGGAATGACCTTTTTGTGGATTTTATTGCTTAGCATCCAGTTCCAGACTTGTAAACTGACCATGTTTCGAATATCTGTTTTAGATTTATCTTAATTTACTTCAGCTAGAGCGCAACATGAATTCCTTCAGGGCACCTTACCTCAACTGGGTGAATAATGTAAAATCCCAAGGCTAAATTACAAATTTAGATAGAATTTGTCTTATGTTAGTTTACACACATCCTCCAATTCAGCAATATTGTATTATATGATGAGATGATTAGATAATTCACCTATGGTATTTAAATGAAGAACCGATAACGTCGTATAACGGGCCGGGTATTAATTTACATACTCTTTGTCTTGAAGAGGGCATACATATTCGCTCCGACGAAGGGCTAACGCTCGAAACGTCAGCTTTTGTAATCGTTACGGTGGCCAATTTACCATTTAAACTTTGTTGATATATCCAAATTATTTCGTTACTCCCACCGACGCAGCCCCAAACAGTTTCTTTCGAAACTATCAGCCTTTATACATATTAAAATTGGTAACAATGAAAGAGTGTTACATTTTGAAATTATATCGCTCGCGAGCTCCTTTCCAGAAATGACCATATTGCCTGAGTGTGTTAGGGAATCTCAGCGGCACTCACGATGTTTTTAAGTGTATTTCATTCATTAAAGCTCTGAATCTGTTTAATCATAGAAAACAAAATCAAATATCTCCGAACCCTGTCAACCTACAAAATATACACCAAATGGCCTTCCATTTCTGCATAGACGTGTCAGACGCTGCTAGGCCAACAATGACTGCCCCAGATGATATCCCCCTAATTCATGTCCAGTTCCATGGCACTGGTCGAAATGACTTTAAAGTGGAGTATGAAAAGCACAAAAGCACCCTGCTGACAGAATACCTGAGAAAACGCGATGGGCCTGACTTTCACGAAAATCTCATGAAGCTGACTTTTAATATCACGCCTGTCGAAGACACAAACAGCTTCTGCCGAAGCGTTTTGGAAAGGGGGATATTTTGTCGTCAACGTTCATACTTCTACCTAGGCCACTCGGTTGAGCAGCTTGTGAAAAAATCGTGTTACTTTATTGCAGCAACACATGAAGAAATCCACGGCCTCTTGTCACAGTTTGGAGATTTTTCTGGTGAGAAAAACCTAGCAAGACGTGCCAGGAAAATTGCTATGCTCTTTTCACCGTTAACCAAAACTGTGGAATTGGCTGAAAATGATTACAAAGTCGAACCAGATGTGACAGGTGGAGTTTTCTACTCGTATACTTTCACCGATGGATGTGGTTTCATGTCTCCAGAATTTTCTTGTGAAGTGCAAAAAATCTTAGAGCTTGACTACCAGCCTAGTGCCGTCCACGTACGCTATCGAGGAAACGAGGGGATGCTAGTTCTTAAAGAAGATCTGAAAGAAGTCAAAGTGCAGTTCCACAACTCAATGCAAAAGTTCCTGGACCCCGATGAGAAAAAGTTCGAGGTTCTGAACTTCGTCAACGTCATGGAACATTCACGCCCATACGTCAATGGTTATCTCAACTCTAAGATGATCATGTTGCTGGAAGAACGTGGCGTGTCCGCCAAGAACCTAGAGGCCTTACAAGATGGCTACCATGAGTTGCTGGAGGGCATATGCAAAGAAACCTCTGAGCATTTCCTGCAGTTAAAGGGAAAGTTTGATCTTCTGAATGAAATCCAAGACAAAGGAATTGACGGTGGCATTAGAAAGCAACTTAAGCGTTTACAGAGCCGGGAGCTGGAAGAAATGGAGAAAGCTTCGTTCACAAGAGTTCTTGTCCGCAAATCTCGAGAAGTGTTTGCTGTGTGTGATCCTCTCAACAAGTTGAACTATGGTGAGTGCTACTTCAATCCTACTCTCGGAGGTGACAAGACAGAAAGTTTTAATGCTGGCCAGAAATTTGTGGTGATGCGAAACCAATGTTACCATCCAGGAGATGTGCGTGTCTTGAAAATGACCGACAAAAGAGAAGGGTACGAGAAACTGAGGGACTGTCTGGTGTTGCCCGTCAAAGGCTCACGCCCACATGCATTTGAATGTTTCGGAGGTAATGTGGGTGGAAACAAATTCTTCGTCAGCTGGGATCGAAGCATCCTTCCAAGCAGAAAAGAGAAACCATGCAACTATTTGCCCTCCATCGCAGCTAAAATCTCTGCAGCTGCAGCTCACCCTGTCCTAACAGTAACTTCGAAATTAAAGAGAACCAACCCAAGCAAAGAAGTGACAGCCCGAGAGGAAATGGAGCAGTATTTTGCCGCACATTCTGATCACATAGTGAAAGAGATTGAACAGGCATATCTGCAATGTGCAATGACATCAGGCCCTTCATCCAAACGATGTCGACATCTCTGCAAGATGCTGTACCGAGCCACCACCCTAGGAGAGGGTCTTCAGAATTTGCAGAATGAGCTTAGGAGCATGGAACCCGGGAGACCCTCAGGAAAGCCCATGGGTCTACCAACTAACCACGATCCAGAGCACGTAAATGAAGATTCGGATACCATGTATGAGCCAAGCACAATCAGTGAAGCTTCAAGAGAGCAAGCCAGCGCTACTAGTTCGGATTCAAGTTTGGATTCAGGCGAAAGTGGCTCAGGAGATTCCTGTCGCCGTGGTGATAAAATATGGAGAAAGATCGACGAAAAAGCTAAAGAATTTGTTCTCCGTATGCAGCGTGAAATGAGGAAGAGCATCGTGTAATTTTCAGGGAGAGATCACGAGGGCAGTTGTCGATATCCGCTTCATTGGGTGTGGCTAATAGTAGCTGTTCACTTTTCAGAGGTTACATCATTGAAGTCAAGTCAAGATCAATCTCAAAAATATCAAACTAACTTTGCAATCATCAGAGCGACTATTCGATTTTATAAGCGGTTCACCGACAACATTAACAAGGTTAACAGTTGTAGAACGAAACACAGTGTCCGCCAAAGTTCGAGACCTGTTAAAGCGACATTTTTATAACTGTAAATGACTATATTTTACTTTACCATTGCTGCGTTGCGCAACCATTTGTACGAAAAAAAATGCGCAAATGATCGAAACCATAATTTTCCTGTATGTTTTACACAGATAGCTGCGCTTACACCTTCGTTGGATGGTCACGCATTCACCTTCGCTGGATGGTCACGCAACAGTTTCTACTCAGCCTTTTACCATGTGACAACACAGTTAATGTAAAATCTGTACTATAAACTGTTCTTAGCTTCTTTATATTCTATCATACAGTATTAGAGACAATATACATAAGAAACTTTTCTAGATATTATGACCATACACGTGGAAAATCGACGGGTTGAGTTATATGATGAACTTAGAATAGAACGAGTATGTCTGTGAATGGGTCGTGTATGGCAAAATCATAATCTAAGACATTTGAGTTAGCCTTAAATGTAGAAAATATTCATCTTTTTACAATTACAGCTTTCGAGTGTTGTTTTTATAGTTAATTTCCCCATCGCTGCGGCTAGATTAGGCAAACATTTAATGAGGTTTTGCACCATCAAAGTAAGCATAAAATAATGTCACGCTGGAACTAAACTGTCACGCCACATGTAAGCGGTATAAGGCGCTAATGCATGAACGAATAAGTTTTGCTTTGAAATGGCATCTATGGTACTTAACCTCTCGAACCCTGATAGCGACGGACATGGTATAAATGAGACACCGGGAAAGATATTTAGCGCTTTTATTTCCAAGGTATAGCAAAGACTTGTCGGAAAAAACTTCGTAGTGATGCCAGAGCTGTAGGATAATATGAGTTTGTACCAAAAACTGAGTAAACCTTTAAGGACACTAATATTTGCTGGGGAGATTTAACAAATTAACAAAGGCGGTAAGTTTCATTTTCAAACTTTGACCGATTGCTCTTGAGTGTTTTCTCTCTATTTTTTTTTTTTAACAATAAATAGTAATTTCCAGGAAATTTCCAAGACTGAGTACTTCGTGGACCTCTAGACACTACTGAGATAAAAAAAAGTGAGGTCATAAAATCGAGAAAAAGCAAGGAACTTAAAAACTGCCGGATATTTTATTTATGATACCTAATAATAATCTCGTACTCAGGCGCGGTCACGACCACGGACAACTTTACATGGGGCGCCTAGGGAACAGCTACGAGAGAAGGTTTTGTTGTCGCTAACGTCATTTGTCTTTAATACACACCGAGTAAACTTAAACCTTTCACAAAGGACTCGTACAAAGGTCCCAGCCACTAAAAACAATATTCGCTTCTAACGAGACGTCCATAGATGGTCAAAAGAGTTTAAGATTTTTGAATAAGGTACAATACAAGACATATATCTTATTATACGTTTTGTTGTGTAGTATCGCTGAGTATTTTTACGAGTTGTGCCGTATTTTGGCGAGCCCGTACGTAGGACGAGTCAAAATACAAATAACGAGTAAAAATACTCAGCGATACTACACAAAAAAACGTTTAATAAGTTATTTATTATCCAACACGCC